TAGGACTTATCCTACGGACCGTCCTATCCGCCACTAGAAATAATGTTCTTTCGGCAGTGTGATTTCGGTACACACGGTTGTAGGTGGTAGGAGATAAATTTTAGGCCATTGAACCCATAGCAATGTTTATTAATAATGTAGGATGCTTGTTGAAATACGTACCGTGGACTTCTTTAAACCATTTTATATATTCCGATTTTGTTTTTGACGACTCAGATTCAGATGGGCTGGAACGATAGGAAAATCCCTTGAGGGTTGCTGCATGAGAAAATCGTTGAGCCAGGAAATGATAAGGTGTTAGTTCTTGATAGATCAAAAACGAAACACCCGAAACACACCCTGATCAACCAATTACTGCCCACGTTCCCTGCACTAGCAGTCCGCGCTGTGTAGGTTAAGTGAAGCAAGAAAGAAGTAGAAAGTAACTTGAAGGTAAACGAGAATGAAAGTCATTAAAATGAAGGATAACACCAAAGAGTGAAGATAACGACAGAATAAGAACTGAAAGTTTGAAGATGGATATGGTCAGGAGAAGGGAAAGGTTTCGTGTTGCCACCCAAGAGCGTCTAACTGACGCTCGAAACCCTTAACCGTAGGTTCACTGACTACATTTTCTGGAAGCGAGTTCCAGCGCTCGATAACTCTATGCGATAACCGGGTTTCCGCCCTGATCCCGTCAGAACGCGGCTTGTGTAGCTTCATGGGATGACCGCGAAGACAAGGCGATCTAGCCGGGCTAAGTAGCCAGCGCAAATCCGGCCCAACCTTCTCTGTTAAAATGCGGTAAGTAAGGATTAGGTCTCCTAGAAGCCGTCGGTAGTGCATTGAATACATACCCAAGCTAAGTAGACGCTAGGTGTACTATTGCCCCCGTAACCCCACGACCAATTTGGTACCTACTCTCAAAACCCTCTCAAGCTCCATTTTGTCAAAAACAGGGCAGGGCGCGCAAGCCAGGACGCAGTATTCCAGATGGGGCCGAACGGAAGCTGAGAACAAATTCACAAATATGTCGGCAGTTAAGACCCCGAAAGAACGGCATATTAACCATTACATTCTGAAACCCCTACTAGCGGCCTTCTTCCAGTTGTCACCAGAATGCAAAGACGAGGAATGAACGACACCTAGGTCTATCTGGTTGGAGACAAGGGGGAGTTCGACCCCACCGAGTACGTAGCTCGAAGGCGGGTAGGTTGCTCCTATACGACGGACGGAACACTTAGCCTGATTTATGGGCAGTAGCCACAAAGTAGAACAGTCCCAGAGTCTGTCCAGTGCATGCTGTATGGCCTCAGAACCCCAGGAACATTTACAACATTCCATATCTTAAGGGCATCAGCAAACAATAGGGATGATACCCCAAGCTCTCCAGGGAGATCGTTTACGTAGATGGAGAACAGCATCGGTCCAAGGACCGAGCCCTGTGGGACACCGCTAAGGACCGCTTGCTTAAAGGATAAGCTGCGATCCACACGTACACACTGCTCTCTTCCCTGTAAAAACGCAGATACCCAATGAAGGGCGCGGCCAGATACGCCGTAGGACCTCAGCTTATGGGATAGCCTCAAGTGGGGTACCTTATCAAATGTTTTCGAGAAGTCTACGAAAAGCACATCCACCACGTGGCCATTGTCTACTGCCTCGGCCTAAGCTTCACGAGCAACCAACAAATTCGTCAAACACGAAAATCCCTTCCGGAATCCAGGTTGTGCACTACTGAGCAGATTAAATCTATTCAGGTGACATTCCAACGAATCTCTCGCCAGCTTTTC